TGCCAATGTACTATTTCTGTGAGGACATAATACCAGTCCAATTCTCCTCAGGACAGCTTTCTCTTGACCCCAAAACTTTGTTTTAACCTCCCTAGTGCCTGAAACCTTCCCTTTGATGTGACTTTTCAAAGCACAAATTGACTCATTTTACCTATTCACGCAGGGCATAGATTCAGCAATATTTCTGAGAACATTACACTCGAGATCTCAGTCTAAATATCGTAGTTTACTCCTCAAATTTGCCTTCAAAGCCTTCATCCTCTTTCCTAAGATATTGGTTCCTATCTCAACGTTGAGCTGTTTTCCCTTACACTCTGGATGTTTTATCTTCCCCAGCAGTTTTTGAACTTTCCTTATGATCGGTCCCATAAAGGACAATGTCGTTCACAATTATCAGTGATCCTTGTTAAATAGACAGCTTTTCCCATGAATTTCACTTGGCTTGATGTGTAACACCTCATTCCAATTAGTTTATCCTGAGCTGCATACTATAACAAGCCAGCTTTTGAGCTCAGCATTTTCATCTAGAACTGTGCATGTCATTCTCGTGTACTCTTCTACACCATGAGTAAAAGATCACACGACACCGGGTTATAGTCCAACACGTTTATTTGAAGACACAAGCTTTTGGGGCCTCACTCCTTCTTCAGGAGACTATGCTGAGCATTTTGCACGCTTCACAAGTTTAGCCATAGAGCCTACCACTCCTGTATGGAGGGCTGTAATAGGTTTTAGAGTAACTGTCTTTATGTTATGCCAGCAATGGCCTTTTGCTCCTCTTTACTAACTCAACTCATGGTATAAATACTTTTCACATCCTGACTTTACCACACTCTCATATACATATTACTTTAACGTAATATTATCACTGTTTATGTTTAAAACTGCCTAGTGTAATGCATCAGCACCCGTTACAATAATACTGTAGTGAAAGTGCAACCTGTTTAGCCAAGGAATTAAAGTAAATTAAATCAAGTCATGCTAGATAATTCTAAGAAGATTTGCATATTGGGAGCGGTTGGTTTATTGTAACATAACCTACTAGAGATAAGGATTTCTTTTTAATAAACCATCAATATCTAAAATATTTTCTCCAGAAAATATCAACTATTTTAGGCGTTCCCGTGCTTCCATTCAAATTTCCAGGAACTGAAAGATAAAGATCTGAGTTACTTACTGATCTCACATAGACGTAAGTGAGATTCACGTCCTCATGAGAAGGATATAATTATGACAAGTACAGCAAAAATGCATGAAACAGGCTTTTGTGTGATCTGTGACAAAGATTGAAAACATGAACAGCTCGTCAAAAGAAACCAAACAAAGAGGAATGGTCAGTAGGAGGATTTACTGAAACCTTCACAGAAATTTATCACTCATCCTCTTACCATTGTGCAACATTCACCTAAACCATATGTGGGTAACTCTTAAAGGGCAAAATAATAAAATGAAATTCCTTTCTGATTGAACAAATGTAGAAACATTTCAAGGAACAAAGTTTTCACCATTTCTTTGTTCAAATGTCAGCATCACTTTAACCAAATTTTTTATAAAGTACTTTGCAATCCGCAGCCATATGATCCATTCATCAAAAAAAAATGAACTTGCAGACCTTTAATACTTTCAGGGAGGATTTTATTTTCACTGCTTATTTGAGTAGAACAGACATTCCCATAAGCAATAGAGGCTCAATGTTCCCTCAAGAGAAAGGGAATAGGAGCCAGGATTGTATCTGTGTCCCCAAACCCAGCCCAGGGGTGACTGGTTACTCATTGCATATTTTCAGGTGGGCACCACCATAGTTGGCAGGTGAACAGGCACCCTGTCCAACGAAAGCTGATGGTGGCTGCTACAAGCTGGATGGCCAATTGAAGTCTTTCCAGCTTGAGATGACCCACAGTCTGCATTACAGGACAAGTGGCACTAAGAGGTGCCCTCTTCCCAATTCTTGTAAAATTTAAATCCTAAACCAAGCAAGCAGATAGGCCACCACTGTGGGGGAGCTGGTGGTGAGTGGATATCCCTCCAACAAGACTGCCTATGGCTGAAGGCCCACTCAGGCAGGCGGGGAGGGTACGTAGGGCCAGTTTGGAGAATCAACCATGCAGCTTACCTCTGGGTGCCTGCCTACAGGCCATTGCACTGTTCCTGCAAAGGAGAATGGAGGCCGGCTCAGAGTTTCCAGAAGTTTCCTTTAACTCTGTTTGACAAGGCTCTTAATGAGCCTGTTTGGCTTGTGTGGGCAGCTGGTCCTCCAGCCCTGATCCTGCCTCAGCAAAAAAAAGGTCTGGCAGTGGAAACAACATTGGGAAATTGACATGTCAGCTGGCATTGGTGTTTGGGAGTCCCAAAGATATCAATCCAATGACTCTGCAGTTGCAGTTCCCCACACTCATTTTGTTCTAGTATAGGCCTGGACACAAAGAAAGGCTCATATTATTCAAACATATTTTTATTGAAAGGGGGAAAAATGCTACATAGAACTTGTTGCACTGAATCCACTTCTGAATCATTTTTGCCATTTATAAGTAGATCTCAGCTCTTCACACAGTTGTCCACAGGGAAACCATGTTTTAGCTCCTAAAAAGCAACAGCTAAAAATAGTCTCTGATGCACTTAGATAGACCCAAGCTGAGTGGATCATAGAATTTGGTCTTTTCTTTTTGTCTTGCAACTCTAACTTTGTTTTCTCCCATTCTGGTAGTTGAATGACAGAATAAGAAAGTAGTTGCTGACTAATCATATAATGCCTTGACTGACAGAATACTGAGCTTTAGGATAAAATACAGATACACTAAATTGATAAAGTTACTGAAGACAGGTCGCAACACACACCACAATCAACCAGCCAGTTCATCCTTCCATGATTAATGCTAACAATCAAACTAAGAAAGCTCCTTCCTTGCTCTAAATAATCCAACTGAATATCCCATTTCAGGAGATTGAAAACAACATCTATTTTTCAGAGATAGTAGGAACTGCAGATGCTGGAGAATCCGAGACAACAAGGTGCAGAGCTGGATGAACACAGCAGGTCAAGCAGCATCATAGGAGCAGAAAGGCTGACGTTTCGGGCCTATCATTTCTATCCTAGGGTATAACTTTGTCTTTGAGAAATTGGCGTTTTGATTTTTTTTTTCTTTAAGCCAGAAGAGCAGTGTAGTAAATAAGCTTATTAAGCATAGAATCCCTCTAGTGTGAAAATAGGCCATTTGGCCCATCGGGTCCACACTGACCCTCCGAAGAACATCCCACCCAGAGCTACACCTCTACCCCGTCTCTGTAACCCTGCATTTCCCATGGCTAATCTACCCAACCTGCATGTCCCTGGACACTATGGACAATTTAGCATGGCCAATGCACCTAACACACATACCTTTGGACTGTGGGAGGAAACCTCAAGCACCCGGAGTAAACGCACGCAAATGTGGGGAGAATGTGCAAACTCCACACAGACAGTCACCCAAGGGTGGAATCAAACCTGGGTCCCTGGTGCTGTGAGAGAGTAGTGCTAACCACTGAGCCACCAGGCCACCTGCAAGTATTTTTAATCGAGCTGTTGAGACACATTTCTGGTAGTGAAAGATGAACCCAGACCTTCAGACCAGTGGTGTGTTGTGTCTTGGTTTATGTTATTGCATTGCATGCTTTCAATCTATACAGGATTGCCAGTTATTTGGTAGGGAAAATTATATACCTTGATGGGTTTGTGAAGGTGGTGGCTGGTTTCTGTTGAACTGGCTTTGTTGGATTAGATCTTGGTATTGATCCGATTTAAGTCAAAGTTGAAGCAATCTGTATACTCAGTCATTCTGCATTTGAAGAATCTTGCTTTGCTTATCATTGGGCATTTTGCAGCATTTAGACTTAATCATTGGTGCTTCATCTCAACCTGTACTGTCTGAGAGTGCTTATAGATACGTTTAGGGCAGGTGGGACTTAAACCCAGGCCTCCTGGTCCAGAGATAGGGACATTGACACTACACAAGAGCCCGCTTACCCCAAAAAAAAGGCCCTATTCCAGTATGTTATGACATACCTCTGCAGTTGGTGGGACTTCTACCCACATTTTCTAGCCCAGAGGGGTTTAGGGGACACATTACCACTGTCCTACAAGAGACATTATATTCCTATTGCAAGTCAGTTCTGTTTATGTTCCCACTAAATAACAACAGTCAGTTCAGCTTTTTAGGGGGAGAAACAGATACCACACCAACTGTGGGTTTTCTCACATCCTTTAACTTTCACAGTGATTGGGGTTATCCTATCACTTATGTCAAATCAGCATTCTAAGCCAGGGCCCAAAACTACCAATCTCTGATGCACACAAAGAATTTCCTGGGGAGGTAAGCTTCTGATGGGCAGGAATTCTGCTGTCAGGGCTCTTTCACAAATATCTCTTAACGTGGAATTCAGGGCGGAGACCTTGAGCCAGTTACAAGCCACTTGCTGCATTCTCCTGGACGGTCAGACCCAGTGGTCAGGCAGCATCACCCAACTGAGCAATATAGCCAGACACACCCCAGGCTGAGCCGACTCTCCTCCCAACACTTCCAACCCACGATCACCCTCAATTACCCGATTCCCGAGCCAGCCTGATAACATTGATAAAGATTTAGCTGGTCCCATTTCTTTATTAGAATATCATCAGCAGTACCAATAGAGAAAGCTCCGTGGTCCGCCTGGTACAAAGGGGGAAAGATCAATCTCCTCTCTGATGGGTCAGTTTTCCATTCTGTTTCACATTTCCATTGCAAATATTTGCAATGTTAACAACGTTTGCTTAAGAAGTTAGCAACCATTCGTGGAGTCGGGGCGTTCTAAATTATTAACTGGTCAATACCTCACCTTGATTTAAGAAAAACAGATTGCAATGAAAGTAATTTACATGTATACAAGCTGTATCAATGTTGACAGAATAGTTGCTAAGTTCTGATGAGTAAGTTACACACTTGCTACATTACAGTGCCATCTTCATTTTAGTGTTGGTTCCTTTACAGCGGAGAATATAACAGATTCTACACAATCAACAATTGCTGGTAGCACACCATCTGTAAGTTGATAGATTTAACTTGACCTAATGTTAATATAGACCATAGTTTCATCTAACTCAGCTTTTAAGGTACAACTCACAAAGAACTGAGTTTAAAAAAAAAACCTGTCCCCATAAACCAAATACATTTATCTTTGAAATCTCAATTGATCTTCCAATTATCTTTGACAGGATACTGTTAGATTAATACCATGATCAACACTATAGCTATTAAGAATCCTTTTCAATTAAAATGAAGACACATTAGTGCAATTATATGCATTATCCTGGTAATGCATCCACGTAGAAGTGCCACTTGAGAGAATTCAACTGTAGTTTCGAAAGCTTTGGTGCTTTTGTTGTGGAAATGTTTCTAATATAGAAGGCCATGGTTTTCATAACAACTATTGAATTAGTTACAGAAAGTGGCAATTCATTATGCATGAAACATTACATTAGGCTCTAATCTAGGACTAGTCCATTGTATGATCAGTGTTATCTAACAACGGAAGCAGGGTCAGACGCATAAATATAGCAAAGTGAAACTGCAGAAACATAATTGTAAACGTTGAAGATGAAAAGGTCTCAGACGTTCTGGTAATAATAAAGTTGACTGCATTGTTGGTGATCTGAGCTCAAATTCTCATCTCTGTTGTACTTGAGCTTATCTTGGCCCCTCCTGGGTTTGAGTTATAAGCAGAGGCTGTATAGGCTGGGACTTTTTCAGTGGAACATAGGAGGTGGAGGGGGTGACCTCTTATAGAGGTTTATAAAATAATGAGGGGTAGAGATAAGGTATCTTTTCTCTAGGGTGGGGGAATTTCAAGAATGGGGGCATATTTTTGAGGTGAGAGAAGGAAAGCTTTTAAAAAACACACGAGGGGCAATTATTTTTACACAGCGAGTGGTTCATGTGTGGAATGAACTTCCAGAAGAAGTGATGGACGTCGCTGCAGTTGCAACGCTTAAAAGACATTTAGATAAGTACATGAAAAAGAAATGTTTGGAGTGATATGGGCCAAGCGTAGACAGGTAGGACTAGTTTAGTTTGGGATTGTGGTCAGCATGGACTAGTTGGACTGAAGGTTCTGTTTCTATGCTGTATGACTCTCTTTTTGAGTTTGGCATTGTTATAAATTGAAGCGACAAGGAGGTCATATACATTTGCTGAAATATTTGTATGATCAACAGCCACTGGTGACGTGTTGGAAGACTGGAGGTCGGCTAATATGGTGCCATTATTTAAGAAAGGTGGTAAGGAAAAACCAGGGAAATATAGAATGGTGAGCCTGACATCAGTGGTGGGCACGTTGTTGGAGGGAATCCTGAGGGGCAGGAATTACATGTATTTGGAAAGGCAAGCACTGACTAGGGAGAGTCCATGTGGCTTTGTGCGTGGGAAATTGTGTCTCACTAACCTGATTGAGTTTTTTGAAGAAGTAACAAAGAGGATTGAAGAGGGCAGAGCATTGGACGTGTTCTGTATGGACTTCACTAAGGCATTTGACAAGGTTCCCCGTGGTAGATTGGTTAGCAAGATTAGATCACATGGAATACAGGGAGAACTAGCCATTTGGATACAGAACTGGCTTGAAGGTAGAAGACAGAGGGTGGTGGTGGAGGGTTGCTTTTCAGACTGGAGGCCTGTAACCAGTGGTGTGCCACAGGGATTGGTCCCGAGTCCACTGATTTTTGTCATTTGTATAAATGATTTGATTGCGAACATAGGAGGTATGATTAGTAGGTTTGCAGATGACACTAAAATTGGAGGTGTAGTGGACAGTGAAGAAGGTTACCTCTGAGTACAACGGGATCTTGATCAGATGGGCCAATGAGCCAAGGAGTGGCAGATGGAGGTTAATTTAGATAAATATGAGGTGCTGCATTTTGGAAAGGCTAATCAAGACAGGACATCATCACTTAATGTTAAGGTCCTGGGAGTGTTGCTGAACAAAGAGACCTTAGAACGCAGGTTCCTAGTTCCTTGAAAGTGAAGTCCCAGGTAGACAGGATAGTGAAGAAGGTGTTTGGTAAGCTTGCTGTTATTGGCCAGTGCACTGAGTATAGGAGTTGGGAAGTCATGTTGTGGCTGTACAGGACGTTGGTTAAGCCACTTTTGGAATACTGTCTGCAGTTCTGGTCTCCCTGCTATAGGAAGGATGTTGTGAAACTTGAAAGGGTTCAGAAAAGACTACCAAGGATGTTGCCAGGGTTGGAGGGTTTGAGCTATAAAGAGGGCTGAATAGGCTGGGGCTATTTTCCCCAGAACGTCGGAGGCTGAGGGGGTGACCTTTATAGAGATATATAAAATCATGAGGGGCATGGATAGGTTAAATAGTCAAGGTCTTTCCCCTGGGGTGGGGGAGTCCAAAACTAGAGGACATAGGTTTAAGGTGAGAGGGGAAAGATTTAAAAGAGACCGAAGGGGCAACTTTTTCATGCGGAGGTGGTGCATGTATGGAATGAGCTGCCAGAGGAGGTGGTAGAGGCTGGTGTGATTACAACATTTAAAAGCCATCTGGATGGGTATATGAAAAGGAAGCATTTAGAGGGATATAGGCCAAATACTGGCAAATGGGACTAGATTAATTTAGGATATTTGGTTGACGTGGATGAGTTGGACCAAAATGTCTGTTTCCATGCCATACATCTCTAAGATTCTATTTGTAAAAGTTTAATTATGACGAAAAATACTGCATAAGGCTTCAATTCAAGGTTGGCCTATCAGTGCCACATAGCCATGAGAATGTGGGTCCGTCACACACAAGGATGGAAGTGAAGCCAGTGCAATGCAAATGTACAAGTTTCCAATCGTCCAGTAGTTCTGGGGATAAAATAATGGATTCCAACTGGTGAGGTTTGAAGAGCATACACTGAATTGAGAGCAGTGCAAATAGCCTAGTCCCAGTGTAGTCATACAATCAAATGGCACATAAGTTGATCAATTCGTCCATTGTACCTGTGTTGGCTCTTTGACAGATCTGATCAGTTAGCCCCGCTCACTTGGTCTTGCCCCAGAAGTATTAATGTTGGGAGTATTTGTCCAGTTTCCCTTTTGAAGGCTACGCGGTTTTGCTCACAATTCCTATGTACAAACATGCGAATTAAGAGCCAAAGTCAGTCATTTGGCTTCTTGAGCCTGCTCTGCCATTCAGTTAGATCATAGGTGATCTGACTGTGGCTTTCATTCGTTTGTCAATACTGTATAAAACAAAAATACACTAGTTAATCAAATTGGGCCAACTTTTAACTCATACGCTTTGGTTAGATTAAGGTATACTCCATTTTAGTGAAGCTTTCTAATAATTAAAATGTGAATTATTTTTACAGACAACTTCACCGCCTAACAAAGTAAACGTAGCAGCCATTGTGGCCCCATGTGTCATTGGTGGGGTGATAGTTCTAGCTGTCATTCTGACTTTTCTCATTTTAAAACTGCGGGAGAAACGTCAGACTGAGGGCACCTATAGCCCCAGCAGCCAGGAGCAGACCGGATCTCGGATGGAAATGAACAATACCCTAAAACTACCACCAGAAGAGCGCCTTATCTGATATGTACAGGCTCTGTCATGCACACAAGACTTTAAGGTTTTATGGCGGAAGGAGTAGAAGTCAACAGATCCAGGTATTCCCTGCGCTGCTTAACAAGTTAGGAGGAGGAGAAATGCTGGAAAGTGTGCGTGGCTGTGTTTTCCTTAAACCACGGCAGCTTCAGAATAACCCTGCATGGATTATCCGTAAACTGTTTTAACCGTCTTGACTCTTGTCAGCAGGATGGGGAAGCCGGGACCTCCGAGATTGTGCTATATGCTGTGTTGGTTGCGGTGGCGTTCTCGCTCATTTTCTTCCTAGTCCTGATTGCCACTGTCGTGACCCTAAATAAAAGAGCGAGCCACGGGGCGTATAGCCCCAGCAGGCAGGAGAAGGAGGGATCGCGAGTGGAGATGTGGAATATGTTGCACCCATTGCAAGTGGAGAGGCTTATCTGAATGAACGTGGAGTTTGGTAAATTACATATTCGATGACATTGTCACAAAATGCACAGAGTGAGAATGGCAGGAAAAATGCCTCAACTGGAATTGAAAACCCTTAAACATGCCAATTAAACCCGCTGAGTTGCCAAGTCACTCCAAACTACAATTAAAATTTTGTTCCATTTTAATCATTCTTTTCCATTAAATAATTGACCTTGTTTACAGTGTAGGGATGTAACTGACCTGGGGGATATAGGACACACATACAGGAAGAAGATTACCATCCAAATATTAATATTAACATTAAACACATGCTCTGGCTCAGAAATGCCCAGGAGTGGGTAGGCAGCGCTCCTCTTCATTTAGGGAGCACTTCTATTTTCTTTTTAAGAAAGAAATCTGGGATTGGAGCTTTGAACTATGTTGGCAAAATGAGAAAAGGAATGATCCTTCTGTGATAGCTGGCCTGGACCTTCTGCTTCATTGTGTTTTATTTTCAATTTGCTCGGAAGAGAAAAAATTGCAGAATTTAACATTCAAATTATGTCCCAGTGACTGGAATTTTTGTAACACTTTGCGCTGGTTTTAATACTATAATAATTCAACCTTCGATGATATGCAAATAGTTGGGGCGGAAATTTAAAATGCGAGAAAAATCACATCTCAAAAACTGCGCAATTTGGGAGATGATTAGCACACAGAAAGACAATTGCACCTCAAAATGAACTATCCCAGTATGCTTGTTTCAAAACAGTTCTACCCTTCAGCAAACCATTGAATCTAAACAGACTACGCACGGCCGTTTCTGTTCATTCTCACCACAAAGCGACATGCCTTCAGCAAAGATTTTAACTAGACAAAGTATCAGTTACTGTACTGTTTCCTAATGATCCAAATTTGTCACAAAGTTTCTAACACAGGAGCAGTGTCGTTCATTGCCAGGATCTAGAGTTGCCCAGCTTACCCCTTAGGAGATTCTGCCCACCAACAACAACAATCAAACTCTACATGCAGAAAAACATTCAATCCCTGGATAGTAGGAACTGCAGATACTGGAGAATCTGAGATAACAAGGTGTAGAGCTGGATGAACACAGCAGGCCAAGCAGCATCAGAGGAGCAGGAAGGCTGACGTTTCGGGCCTAGAC